CCCGGTGAGGATTTGCTAGCTGAAGCCACAGCTGAGAACCACTGCTACAAACAAAACTACATAAAAATGTTTTTTAAAACTTCATTTATGTAATCATGGCAATAATCACATCAGGATTTGTTACACATAGTAAGGTAAAGTAGGTTATCATGTTAATCTCATCAGAAACCCAGGGTTTCAGAAAAACAAAATGTGAAGATGTGTCTCACATTAACATTTTTGTCTCTCCCCACCCTCTCTAAAAATCAATGTAAAAATATTCTGTGAGGATTGACAACAAAAAAGCATCATCTTAAAGAGGCATTTTCCTTTAATAATAAATGTTGAGAAACACCCATGAGAGACAGATTGGCTGCCTCCTGCACACCCTCTACAGGGGAGGGGAAATCAAGCCTGCAACCCAGCGACCTCCTGGTGTATGGGATGATGTTCTACCAACCGAGCCACAGCAGCAGAGCTGAGGTATTTTTATGAAAATACGTATTTCAGCCCCTAAGCTGAAGCCACCCACCCATGATGCACTCCTCCCCAGATGACTGTGCATTCACCATCTCCCAGGGTCTTTGGAAAATGTCCACAGGTCTGGATCTCAGGTGTTCACGATGAACCCTCAAGGTCTCACCATGGCCAGAAGCGAAGCCGCCTTCAGACCCCTGTCCCACACACAGACTGTGGCCAGGACAGCAGGCGGAGCATCAAAAGCCGGTTTGGCTGCCATGTCTGGAAGACGCTGGACACCAATCAACCGGTGGTCCCCAATCTGGTGACTCCTTTGCGTTTAAGCCTCGAGGGAAAATCAGTGAGTCTTCACAGAAGTCTGGCTCACAGACACTAAGGAATGATAGGCCTTTATTACAAAGGCACTTTGTGAAACCCAAAAGAGGAAGGTTGATGGTAAAACTCACAGGTTGCTCACTGGGACTTCTGAACCTACTAGTCCAACTTATCCCCACAGGCTGAAAAGCCCCGGTGTTGTGTGTGTCCAGTGATGACGCCATGTAAATCCATAGTCCCTCCCCCCAAATCTGAGCTCCAATCTCCTTAAACTTCTAGCTGTAGTTACTAGATGACAGGATACAGAGGCTGGACAAACAGGTTAGAGGAATCCACACACAAGTATGCAAGAAACCCAAACAGGAATGCATAGGAACCAGGACCTTTCTTCAGTGAAAATGTCGCCCAGGGGCGTCAGAATGGCTAAACTGGAGAGGGTTCTTGTTTGGACCCTGAGTGAACCTACCACCTGTGAGATGGCAGCCGGCTCAAGGAACCTGGCCATTCAGCTATGTGATCATAAGAAGTGCTGTGCTTTAAAGATGTTACATCAGGTCTGAGATTTGCTTCAGAAAGCTGGGGGGAGACGGGTGGGGAGGCGCAGAAAGACACAAAATGCTACTCAGGACAAGGGTAGTCATTACACTAATCTCACTACTATCGTGTAAAATTGTGTTTATAAGTAGTTCAATGAAACAAAGTCGGAAACCAGAACACAATGAAGACCAGAAACCAAGACTGCAAAACACCAAATCTATATTTACATCCACGTATAATAACATAACTTTAAGCTGAAATATATCATAAATAAAACAAGTAACATCTACTGTTTGACAACTTAAGTATCAACAATTAAAATAAATCAAACTGGAATGAAATAAATACATAAACAAAATCCAACAGATTGTACCTCTATTATATATGTACTGTTGTCCCAAAGGAAAAATAACATACAAAACCAGTAGTATCCCAATAGTTAATACTGATGGACATAAAATATAATAACATGTTTTGGAATACAAGGGCTGTGAAAAAGAAAAAAAAAAAACTGGTACTTTTATACTTTTAGAAATGTGGTTAGGAAGGAGAAATATGAAAACTCCCATAATTTCAGCATAACACAAACTGACTTGTTTTCACATAGATTTGGTGATTTTTTTTTTTAAATACAGGTTTAAGTTTCAGCCCTCTACTATGATGTATCCCCCTTTAAGATTTACACTTATAGTCAGAGCAAGCTTTCTGTAACACTCATCAGATTAGCAATGATCAAGTCAATCATCTTCGCAAATGTGTTAATCTTCAAAAATAGGCTATAAAAGTGCAAAACTATGGAAACAAAAATCTAGATTATGTACATATGGCTCAGCTTGTGAACAGGAAAAGGGGCTAATAGTGTACGCTTTCCTGATACGAAGCACTTTGCCGCAAGGCCAGCAGACTGATCTCAGGCCCGTCTCCCTGTCATATGGGAGTTAAGACTTCTCATTCATGTTGCATAATGAAAACAAAACAAACCAAAAAAAAAAAAAAAAAAAAAAAAAAAAAAAAAAATCAAGATTCTTTTAGGACTTTACCCTTAAGACAAGAAACATTAACAGTGCAAAATTATTTTTCAAACAGTTTTCTTAGTAAAATGTTTCATGGTATAAACCCAAGGACGGCTGGAGAACTCAGCTACAAACTGCAAACTAAGGGGACAGAAGTTTAAAACATCCAGTCGGCCAACCGATGGCTCTATTCTCTTTAAAACCCAAATTGCATGTGTCCTGAGAAAACGCTGTTGCTTTAAAACCAAAAATGGGAAGACAAACGAGGTCTAGAAACAGGCTTACCGGAAGGCTTGGGCCAGAAGCTCTTATTCAGAACCAACGTGTCTGAATATGCCCACTGCTGACGCCAATGCAGACGCACTGACTTCTAATACAAACGTACAAATTTCCCCCAAAACTTTAATTTCCTTGAAAATTGCTTCCAATATCTGTATCATGTGTAATTTAGCATTTAATTTTTTATCTACTAATTTAAGCAAACACCTAAAAAAAAACCCTGAATTTTCCAACAGAAATGATTCGTTTGAGAGGAGACTAATCTGAGTAGCTCCACACACGCTTCAGTGCGCGTGCTGGCAGCTGGCTGCTCCGAGAGGAAGCGCTGCCCTGCAGACACGGCTCCCAGAGGGGACGTGGAGGGGGTCCGCCTCGGCGACACCAGGACATGGAAGGGCACCGAATCAGAGTAGCTGACCTCGACACAGGCAGCAATATTCACAGAGGGTCAACACTTCCATTAACAAATTTTAAGACAACAGACTGCGGACAATTTAACATAATACAAATCATCAAGAAAAAATTTTAAAACGTACATCTTAAAAGAAAGAGCACAAATAGCAGGAACTTCTTAGAGTGAGGAGCTACATGAGAAGAAGGATACACAGGGTATTGAAACAAGCAGGTACAACTTATGTATGTACAGATTTTACCTGAGGTGCAAGCATTATATACTTTCTCCCCACCCTCCCCCAGCCCAAATGATTCTTTTCAGCAGCGCTCAAGTATGCAAAAACTCTGCTTATTTGGTCAATTCTTTAAAAAAAAAAAAAAAAAAAAAAAAAAAAAGTTATTATTCAGGGACAAAACAGAGATTTCCCGTCTCCATTTGTATATAACTCAACTGTTCCAACTGAAGTTTTTATTGCTATTTGGTACAAAAATTAACAGAACCCCTTTGCAGCATGTAGTGTTCCTTGCGCATATGTACAGTCCAGTCACAGCTTATTTCAGTAGCTTTCACCGCTCACTTCTCGAAGGATGAACAGACTCCACTTTATGGAGCACACACCCATCAAGACCTAAGGGAAACAGAGGAAGAGAGAGTGGTTAATGGAGGCCATTTTAAAAAACAGCCCTAAGTGCACCAAAGGAACAGAACCTCAGGGCTCGAGCCCTGCATGTTCGCTGCAGCTTTAACCCTGCAGTGCAAGTAGCGAGACACAGACAAATAACAGATAAAGCCACACAACTTCCATGGTCATTGGTATTTATTTAATTGACTCAACGAACAGGATTGAACCAAGACTCAGAATTCACCTCTGTGAATTCAGTCTGCAAAGCCAGTTGCCACTCCAATAAACTCTGCAAGTTTCTACCGTTTTGAGAGGGAAATGAATGGACAGACCAGGATTCGTAAACAAAACAAGTGACTCAGAATAACCTCCGTCCACAAGAAAGTGCATAAAATGTCTGGAACATTATTTGTTCAATATCTATCTAGTTTTCCATGACATTCCCGACGATGGGCTAGGCACTGAGTGGAGGACTCTCCTCTGGAGCTCAGCTAGTGGTGGGGTCAGACATCTAGCTAGGTAAGACGGGCGGAAATGGACATGAGCCACAAAGGCAGAGGCCACACAGATGGGGAAGCAGCCCTGGCCCTTTACAAATATCTGCAGAAATGGTCCGTGAGCTGGTCCTGAAGTATCAGAGAGGCTGTTTGACAAGGGGGTGCCAGAGCCCTGGCCACTGCGGCTCAGCTGGCTAAACATCCTCCCAGGTGCAGTTTGATTTCCTATCAGGGCACGTGCCCAGATTGCAGGATCAGGCCTAGTTGGTTGGGGTGCATACTGGAGGCAACCAATGTTTCTTTCACATATCAGTGTTTCTCCTCCTCTATCTCTCTTCCCTTTCTTCCCTCCCTCCCTTTCTTCTCCCTCTCCCCCTCTTCTCTCTCTAAAAGTCTGGAGGTTGCAGGGAAAGGCCAGTGCTAGACAGACAGGACAGTCAGCCTATACTGTTACTGATCGGCTGTAGTGCACAGTGCAGGGAATCTGTCAGTAATAATTTGTTCCTCTCACAACTACCCAACTCTGCAGCAACAGACAATATCATGGCGAGGTGCCAATAAAACTGTACTGACAAAAACAAGCAGAGAACACAATCTGCTGATGCCTGACCTACCGCCACCTGCTGGAAGAAGGATGAAATAAAACCGTGTTTATAAAACAGTCCATGCCTACCACACAAAGTAACTGCTTACTAACTTTCAGTTGCTATCTTATACTATTTTTTTTTTCCTGAGCACTCTTAAGTTTTAATAAAACACCTAAAAATGAAAAGCAATTTTACTTTCTATTATATTGGCTAAGCTAGATGGCTTATTTTCAGTTAAACAAAATCAATAAATTTATGTATATATGCATGCTTACCTTTCTTCCCCAAAATAGGAAATCAAGTTTTTTTGTCATTTGGCCGGTAATGTGCATTCCCAGTAAAATTCTCATAGTTTCTCTTCTGAAGCATGCTGTTAGATAAGTGTTGATACGACGTAGGTCTTTTTCCTGATTGGAAAAGAAGTGAAAAGGGCACTTAGAATTTTGTTTAAGCGATGAGGTAAGCTGTGGGTGGGCTGTCAGAGGTCAAGTTTCGAAATTCCTAACTCTGATAATGTGGTCAAAGCCACCAGTCAGGAAGACTGTGTTACCACAGGATTTTAGGTCACTAAAGCTAAAATTCTCAAAGTCCTGGCTGTTATAGAAAGAACTAAAAAGCCAAAAGAAAAAAAGGCAGCATAACATACTTGAAACCTAAAAGCATCATGAGCCAAAAATGTGGAACAGAAAAAACACTCATTTAAAAAAGTACTTTACTTGTAACATGGTATTTTCTCATCAAGTTTTGACTCGTGTCTGTTCTAAGATTGGGGGGAGGGGAGGTTTGCTTTTAATCAAAAATTAGTATTTCATCGCAACTTTTTAAATCACTGGAGTGTTGAAAGCAATTGTTTTTTAATTAGCGATTCATATCAAGCTACCCACCCGATGGAGTACTGTCACCATACACATCCATAAGCACTGGGGGTTTGGCCCTTAGGCAGCGCCGTTCAGCAGAGCTCACATTCCGTAGGAGGTGGGAGGGTTTAACCCAGGCTGCTGAATGGGAAAAGCCCAGGACACGCCATCTGCCCGTACATAGGCAGACACCCCTGCGAAGCGCTGTCTTGAGGAAGCAGAGGCTTAGAACACACTCCCAGGGGAAGAGTGCGAGTTGTCTCCACGCTAACAACTGGCATATTTTGGGGAAGTAATGGCACTTTGGAAATTCTCTTAGTATTTCCCAAGGACTAAGTAGGCAGCCCATAATTCTTAGTCCTGACATCAAAACTGCTCAAAAGATTGTTTAACCAGCAGTTCGCACAGGGTCTGCTCCTGACAGGTCAAGGTCCTCAGGCAGTGTTTACCCCCTACCCCTGGACTTGTGGGGGCACGTGAAGCAATCCAAATTCTCCCAATGGGTGTTCTGCTCTAAAGGAGCCGACAGCCTAGGAAGGGTGGTAAGATGAGGGCAGAAGTTCCCCAAATCTCAAATCCCAGGGTAGGTTGGGCATGAGCGCTGGGCACACCACATCTGTAGGAGGAAAATACCTTATGGGGGGAGGTGACCAGGGCTAAATGGCACCTGAATTTCAGAGCAGGAGAGGGTCAGGTCGGGAATCCTAAACAGCCTTTTATATCATCAGCTCCACAAGGTAGAAAGATTAATAAGAGAAAGTCAAAACTCAGAAATAAGACTGCACCCTGGAGGGCTGAGATCAAAAACCAGTGCTAAACCTACTAGGAAGGTCTCCCTGTCAGACACCTCCCCCACACTCTGTCCCCATGAGAAACCCCCCACCAGAATGCACAGCTGAACCAGACCAGCCGTACCTTCCAGGGCTGCGCCAGCCGAGGGGGCACAATTGTAGTGGGACCCGGGCCCGCTGTAGGACTTGTGTATGGTCAGCACATTGGAGGAGTCGATCTCGCCTGACGCCAGGAATCGTGGCTTGACAGGCAGCACTTTTGGCGGCGGGCACGTGTACTCCTGGGGCAGCAGCGATGAGATTCCGCGAATCACCGGCAGGTCGAGGATCCTTCGGTGGTGGGGCCGGGGCTGCTCCGCATCTAGGACCACGGGCTTAGTTTTCGGCTGCTTGGGAAGCGGCTCTCCAAGCTCCGGGCTGGCAACGCTGGCACTGCGGCCACAGAAGTAGTCCTTTCCTTGTGGAGCCCACCGGCCGTCGTGCTTGGCCGAGAAGTCGGCCAAGCCGTTGCTGGTGCTGCTGCCTGTGGAGGGCTGGGCCACGGAAACCACCGGGGCTTTGAACTTCGTCTCCGGCCTCTTCGTCTTCTCGGGGGCAGGAGAAACTCCGCTTTTAGAAAACATCTCCGAGGGCTGCTGCCTGGCGGCCGGAGCCCCCTGTGCCCCAACACTGGGCTGTGGCCTGTGCGACTTCAGGTTACTGGGGGCTAAAGTGCTAGAGTCGATCCCTGAGGCCAGAGAGGCCTTGCCTGGCCCCGTGGGGCCCAGCTTCCCCTTCTCTGACGGCAGGGTCTTGGTCTGGGCCGGGAAGGCAGGCTTGGGCTTGGGCTTGGACTTGGGGAAACCGGACAAGGGAGGCACGTCTTTTCCCTGCAGAATTGGTGGGCAGCCAGTACGTCTGCTTCTAAGCCAAGTCTTGTTTCTACAGTTTTTGTGACCGTCGGGATTGTATTTATGTTGCAGTCTCTGATGCATCATTAAAACTTCTGGATAAAAGGTCTTGAAGGTACAAAACGGACAGCTGATACTTGGGATTACACTCTTGCTCAAAGAAATTGCCGGGCAACTTTGAAGCACCCCGAGGGATAAATTCAAAGGTTTCTCTTGACAGTCCATGCTGGGCTTCACTCTGCTGTCCGCTGCCACCTCTGCCCTCTCTCTGAGGCCCCCCTCGGCCTGGCGGGTGGCAGTGGCGTCTGGATGAGCATGAGGCGGAGCAGCCACCTCTGCTCTGCGAGCAAGGTTGACGGCCTGCGCTTCGGGCGCTGGTCTCTTCTTGAACATGTCCAAGTAAGCAGGGGCAGGGCGTCTGCCCATCTGACCGGCACTAGCTTCAGTTGCATTTTTACTGAAATCCTGAGTATCTTTGTGGACTGGCGAGAGGACAGCACTGCCCAGAACATTCTGAAAGGCAGGGCCCATCCCCTTAGGTTGCTTGGCAGGTGGGCTGGCTTTCACATCTTTGGCACCATCAAGAAATCTTTTCAAATTTTTGGTTTGCGCACTGTCGGCGATGAGTAGTGCATCTTCGGGCTCCTGGTGTTTCCCGTCACTCTTGGCCTCAGTGGCCACATCGACCTGCTTGTCTTTGTGGTGTCTCTCCAGGTGATACCGTAGAGAGGTCTTCTGGGCTGCAGCATAGTCACAAAATTCACATTTGTATGGTTTTTCACCTACAACAAGAAACACTACCGTAATACAGAAGTTTATGAGATTCAGGGCTCTTAACTTTTCCCTCTCCATCTACTAATCTCCATATTCAGGAGTCCTCGTGAGGTGTTCGCTTTACCACGCTCACTATACTGAGTATATGAACAAGTGAATATGTCTTAATTTTAAAAATAAAATAGCAACACTTTATTCTTCTTTAACCTTCATATTAGCCCTATGAAAGTGAATATTATCCTCTACAGCTCAGAAAACGGGGCGCACAGAAAGGTTCAATTACTTGACCAAAGTTGCATAGCTAGTGAGAGAAAGAGATGAAATTTAAGTGCACAAAGCTTTCTACCCATTGTTACAGCCGCTTCCACAATCTGTAAACATATTGCCATTTCATTCTGAACTATAAAAATACAAAGAAGCTGTGGCCTTAAAATACATTAAAGGCCCTGGCTGGGTAGTTCAGCATTGTCCTGATAAGTTTGCCAAGGTTTCAAGTTTCCATCCCCCAGTCAGGCCACATAGAAGAATCAACCAATGTCATGTCAATAGTAAGGTGATGGCTAGAGGGAAGGGGGAGGTAGAAGGTAAAGGGGGATAAGTGGTGATGGAAGGAAAATTGACTTGGGATGTTAAATATACAATATACAGGTGATGTGTGGTAGAATTGTATACCTGAAACCTATAATTTTATTAACCAATGTCACCCAAACAGATTCCATTTTGAAAGTAAAATAATGCATAAATAAGTGAAATAACAAGTCAATGTTTCTCTCTCTAAAAGCAATCAATAAATAAAATTTTTAAAAAACACATGAAAGGTTTGAAAATGAGAGAATATGGTAATCAAAAACTAAACAGGAAAAAAATTTGAAAATAGGAACAATAGTTCAACAATGATACTGAAAGTATTAAAATGATAGCTGCAACCTTCCTGATACACATTTATTCTTAAACTAGTCCAGGGACCTACCAGATTATCTGAACAACAACAATCAGATAAAAAGCACCTCATAATTCTTTTGACTAATACATCATTTTAAAAAATCTAAAAAGTTCCTTACCTGTATGCGTTCTGAGATGAATATTGAGGTAATAATTTGAACGGAAAAACTTTCCACAATAACTACATTCTCTTGAGGATGTCAGATGCTTTATTTTGCCTCCATCGTCATTTTTATCTGAAAGCAGAAACAAAAATGTGTAAAAAGACAGCTCAACTGAAATTTTCTTGATGTAAACATTTTTCAAAAGCATACAATGACTTTTATATTAGTGTTGTGTAAACCATAAAGGCTGAAAATACACCAAATGTTTTGAGGTTGTCTGCAGTTTTATATCATGCCCGTGTTCAGTTTTTTTGTTTGTTTGGGGTGGGTTTTTGGGCTGCAGCAGTTTGCTGTTAAAGACTGAGTTTTCTGCCCAGCTGGGGTGACTCGGTGGTTGAGCACCAACCTATGAACCAAGAAGTCACAGTTCAACTCCTGGTCAGGGCACACACCTGGGTTGCAAGCTCGATCCCCAGTGTGGAGTGTGTAGGAGGCTACTGATCAATGATTTTCTCTCATCATTGATGTTTTTATCTTTCCCTCTCCCTTCCTCTCTGAAATCAATAAAAATATATTTTTTTAAAGACTGAGTTTTCGATTTGCTAATCAGGGAAAGTTCACGGACAGCCAGATGCGCAGGCAGCACTCTCCACATGGTGGAACGAGCAGGATCTGGCCAGCTGGAGCTGGACCTACACAAACGGCTGGAACAACCAGCTTCTTCAGAACAAGTCTAATTTAGAAAAGTGAGCCAATATAAAGCACCAATTTTCCCAACCACTGGGGAAAATAAGACTTTTATCTTAAGATTGGGCAAGTTACCACTAGAGGGTAGCAAGCACAACTTAATCTTCACAGAAAATAAAAGATTTGGCACCAGCAACCACCTAGGAAAGTTTGTCAACACTTAGCAACGTTCTGGAAAGCAGATTGCATTGTCCACAGCATACCCATGCCCCAATCTAGCTGACAAATCAAACCTGTCCTCAATTACAATGCGTTAAACTTTACACTTCAATCTGGACAGGGTGATCGGGACAGTGTATCTCACAGGCAAAAGAGCAAAGGTCAACTGAGGACACACAATTAAAGGATCGTTAAACATCACACCAGCCCTCCAAAAGACAAATAGTTATATACTGCAGTAAAAATACCCCACCCTAAAAAAATGAGTGGTTAAGTTTTAGCTCAACATCATCTTATTTAGAGCTCATCTTATGAACATTACAATATGAGTGGGGTAGCTATTAAAATTTAGCATAACTAAACTGATCGTTTTGTCTTGAAAAACTTATTTTCAACTAAAAGGCTTATCTCTTCCCTGCTCCTTCCACATTTCACATTCTGATTATGTATAACTCACTGATTTTAAAAAGCAGCTTACAAGCCAGCCCTCAGTCAGTCTCCAAGTACAATATAGACAGGATCATACCCTCTGTTACCCTAGTTCCCCTGAGGAAAATGTGTCCACCATTAACATCTGAACACCTCTACATGTGCTAACATGGCTGAGACAGCCTGGATCTAAAAAAAAAAAGGTGCCACAAGGACTTTAAAAAGTAATCACAGGAACTATTATTAAACCCACTTATAAAAGCTTGAACAAAATTTGTAATGAATTATTTACTTCCCTTTTGGATCTTCTTAAAAGTAAATCTATGCCCAGCCATTGTGGCTTAGTAGTTAAATATCCACCTATGAACCAGGAGGTCATAATTTGATTCCCAGTCAGGGCACAAACCCAGGTAATGGGCTCAATCCCCATTGCAGGGCGTGCAGGAGGCTGCTGATCAATGATTCTCTCTCATCATTTATGTTGCTCTCTCTCCTCTCCACTCTATTAAAACCAAAAAAATAAATCTAAAGAATGCCAGGTTGATAATAAATTATAGTAAACTCAATCTAGACCAGAAGACATCACAATAAAGGGCAGGGCAAAAGTAGTTTACAGTTGTTCAAATGTAAAATACAGTAATTAATAAATACAAGATTAAAGTCTGTCACATACAATTGCAAGCCTACTTTTGCCTCAGCCTCATAAATCTAGGAGAAATAATTCCCTGCATACAGAACAGCCAGTTCTTACAATCACACTCAACTAGCTGAATTTGTCACTGGGTTGGTACCTTAATCGCAATTTCCTTCTTCCAACTATGTGTCAGGATTTATGGTATGTTGCATCAGATCCAAAAAGTTAAGCAATGCCTCTGTTCTAACAGAAAGAACATGAAATGTCCACATCTACCTGGTTCCTGCTCTTTTTAGCATCACCTTTGATTTTACAGTGCTGTCCTTTAAGGACTGAACTTTTTATCGGCAAGCTATTGAAATCATCCTTGAGAGGTGAAAGACAAGGAAAATTTCAATGAACCAATTTCGCAAATAGGGAAATCAGGGCAAAGAAAGGTTAAGCAACACATAATCAGTCACAAAACAATGCAGTGGCAGAACCAGACTAAACCCGGGTCTTGGCCCTCCCAGGTATAATGGGTATTCTAGTTGCCCAATGACCAAGCCCAAGTTTTCCACCAGGTGCTTAATTTTTTTAATTAAAAATTTTAAATACATTTTTATTGATTTCAGAGAAAGGGAGAGAGACAGATAGAAACATCAATTGAGAGAGAATCCTTGATTGGCTGCCTCCTAAACACCCTCCACTGAAGATCGAGCCCGCAACCCATGCCCTGATCGGGAATTGAACTGTGACCCCCACCCTGGTTCATGGATCGATGCTCAACCACTTAGCCACACTGACTGCCACTCCACCAGGTTCTTCTGCCCACACCCCCTGCAGGCAGAACGTGGACTGGCCATTTCATTTCTCTCGGAGCACTGGGGCATCTCTAGAGCCTCATTATTTCTCAACATGGAACATGGCCCTGAACAGAACTGACTCTGAAAGACACCACATGGAGGACTAGAGGGCTGGGTTTTAAGTTTTTTATGTCACTAAGACACCATAATGTATTTTCTGGACTTCTGAACACTGAAGATGGTAGCTCTCTAAGTGCCAGGTTTCCTGCATCCCAGGAAACTCAAAGCCGTCAAAATGTCTTAACATGAAAACCACAGCTCTTACATCCATCACGTGATCAGAAAAAGAACCGGGCAATGTGTTATCGGTCAAACTCATCTTGGGTCTCATGCACAGACCTCTTACCGACATCCAATCAAGTTACAACAAAAGGCAGCATTTGTTTTAACTGAAAACACTTTTCTAAATGATAAAGTTTCTCTAAAACCAGCTAATTTTCTCATTATCCACTTGCTGGGTTTTAAAACTGTTTTCAAGCAGGAGAATTCTTTATTGAAGCAAAATATGATCAAATGGATGAGAAGCTCTGGGTGAGGAGAGGGTGGGCAAGGCTCTGCACAGGGGAGTCCTCTGGCCTGGTTAGCGTCCCCTGGGACTCCCAGCAACATGTTAACCAGCCTCAATAGCAGCTTCCAGTTCCCATAATAAATGTCATTAGCACAGTAGAAACTTGGCAGAGCAAATGAGATTGCTTGAAAACACCTTTGGTTGTTCACATGCCCTGTACTTTAGACACATTTATTTCTGAGCTAACTTAACGAACACTACCCCCAGACACAAAGGATGGGATACCAGTACATCAAGTGGTGTCTATAACAGCAGTATTCTCACTCTGGTTACCCATCATTCCTAGTGCCTTCTCACCACTGGAAATCCATTTGTAACAAACATATGAGATCTGGGCCTTGGCAGATAGGGAAGCTTACTACATAAAATAAACTTTACATTCTTATTTTTATAGCTAAGATCAGGAATGCAAAATAAATATTTAAGCAAAAGCCAGGATCTCAACCCGGTGCTACTGAGTTTGGGAGGATCTTTCTTGGTTGTGGAGCTGTCTGTGCATTGGGAGATGTTTAGCAGGGTATCTGTCCTCCACCCACTGGGTGCCAGCAGCACACACCCCCACAAAGTGTGCCAACCAAAAATGTCTCCAGACACTGCCGGCTGCCCTCTGGGGCAGCAGTCATCAACTGGTGGCCCATGAGGTCTGAAAGGTTGGCGACCGCTGCTCTGGGGCAAAACCACCTCCACTTAGGAAGCATCACTTCAGGCTGATGCACAAGGGAAAATAACGTGTGTCCTTTATTAGCAAAATATAAAATCCCAGAACTTCCAGAACAGGAAGAAACCTTGATAGAGGGGCCTTTTAACTCAACCCAGAGGAAGTTAAGCGACTTTCAAAAGGGTGGTATCCCAACAGCCTGGATTCCAAGGCCCCAGACCCTGAGCTGCCAGTGCCCTGCAAAGGGCTGCTCCCAGGACACAACTTACCCAAGTGGAGGCCTTCAGGAAGTCCGTCCTCGGATCCATCTTCAGAGCCTCCTTCTCGATCTGTGGCTCCGTTTTCATCAAGGGTGCCAGCTAGATCTGGAGAACACGTCCTTGGCTGCCGGCCGTCCACAGACATGGTGGGCGACTCGGCGTCTGTCCTCCGGTCCTTCTTGTGGACTCTAGAGTGCAGGACCAGCTGGTGGTAGGTTCTGAACACCTTGCCACACTCAGAGCAATGCGTGGGCTTCTCACTCTTACCGGACAACTTGGAGTCCATGTCCCCAGAAGGCACTTCACCGTTGGTGTGTCTAGGCTTCTCCTTATCTTGTGCTAGGCCTGCATACCCACTCTTATTGGACCTGGATTTTCCAGAACCTTCAGCATGGCTTTTACTCCCGTTCCAGATTTCTCCAAGCTCTTCTTTGTCTGAATCATCGTTATCGGTGCTCCCTTCCTGCCCGGGCTGCTCCTTCACCTCCCGGCAGACAGCAACTTTGCCCTTGGTGGCCAGCTGCCAGGCCTGGTAGGTGGTGAAGGGGTCGAGCTGAGGTATCCATCTGGTGGGCTGCTTCGTAGTTTCAGCGTGAGCTTTTGGTCTGAGGTTTAAGAACTGCAGGAACTCGTCTCTAGGGGCTGGCATTCCCGTCTGCTGAGAGTCTGCCTGGGGACTGCTGCCACCGGAAGCCGTGTCTTTGGTGTGCATCTTCCTGTGATCAATTAGACTTTCTATATTTGGAAATAGGAAGCCACAAACCATGCAGATCTTGTAAGGAGAGGAGATGCTCTCCGCAGCCTGGTGCTGGACAACCTCGTTGATGGTGGCCGGGCTTTCCAAGCCCTGCTGCAACTTGCTCTTGGCCCCCGACTTGCCATTGTGTGTTCGCATGTGGTTCTTCAGAAACCAGGGCTCCTTGAACCTCCGTCCGCACACGTGACACCCGTAGGTGAAAGAGTCCTTGTGTGTCTTTGTGTGGATCTCAACCTCAAATGGGGCTCTGAATGTCTGCCCACAAACTTCACAGCTCAAGTCTTCATTTTCTTTGCCACTCTTGTCCTTGGGGGGCTCTGTTCGCACCTGACCTTTATCTAGAGGACTGAGATACTCTGCTTCCACACGCAGAACTTCGGGCTCACAGAGGGTGGGCCGGTGCTGCAGCAGCACGTGCTTATTGAGGTCTTCAGAGTGGGTGAAGGTCTGACTGCAGAACATGCAGTCCAAGGGCGTGTAGCCTTCGATTTGGATGACGCTCTTCTCCTGCGTGGCTCTGAAAGGGACAGTGGTGGTCCCTTTTACTGACACGGCATCTTCTAGCTCCATCTGGCTGCCAAGAGAATTGCCAATAACTTCCGGTCCATCCATATACACTAAGAGGGATTGAGTTGGCATGTTTCCTGTCACTTCAGGACTGTGCATAAAATAAGAATCTGGCTGAGGAATTTCTGGACTTGGAATAAGGCCACTTGTAATACTCGTCACTCACACCCCCAGCAGTCCTGGGCTTCAAAACTAGAGCAAATATTTGTTATAAAAGTTCAAAAGAAAATGTATATTCCTCTAACTTCTTATCTTCAGAAGTCTTAGGAAGCTCAGTGACAGAGTATCACTGGTTCTTTCCGCGATGCTTTGATTCAAATATGAGTCAGCACAAAGCATTACTTCTCTTTGTCTCCACTGAGAATGAGTGAGTCAGTTGAACAAGTCAATTCCAGCAATCTGGAGACAAGATTCCCAAAACCTAGAGGGAAAAACAGAAAGGGTTAGCTATGGCCCAGAGGCCTGAGTGCGTGGTCACAGGAACCTTTTCCATGTAGCAGAGAAGGCACAACTTAACACAGTGCCAGCCTGTTCAACAAGCTTGTTGATTTAAATAACGATTTCATTTGTACAATCAGCACACCTATCACATCACTAGAATTCCATCCAGTTAGGAAACTTAAAACATGGTGCTTTAATGGTTTAAATTCAGGATAGAAACTGTCCAATTCAGATAAATACATCTAAAATGTCACTGAACTGTATGTACATCTGTAGGTTTATAAACAGTCTCTACAAATCTAGAGGCTATAAGAATAAGATGACAAAGGGTAACATTTTAAAAGCCAGAGCTTCAAACTATCTCATATACAAAAGAACAGACAAGAAACACACATGCCTGAAAGCACACTAGGGGATTACACAGGTCAAACACACAAAATAGGGACCTTTCCTAAAATTCCCCTCAAGAAATACAGAACACCTCAAGATGTTGGTTCATCTTGGCCAAGGGAAAAATGAGAAATTCTGGTTCACTGGAAACTGTACATCCCAATCCACTGCCCAATCCCAGTTTGCTTTTGACAACTCTCTACCTTCAACAAGCATCAGGGAAGGCTTCCTAAGCAATAAATAAGGAAATACATACAATGCTACTTTGTGAATGTATATGTTTAAAGAAAGATCCTCAACCTAGCTGGTTCAGCATGCCTTAGCCTTGAAGTCAAAAAAGGGTCCTTTCATTTTTATCCACTTTTCACATGTGCCCTGGCTTGGGGGGGGGGGGGGGGGGGTGACTGCATTTAGCTCTGCAGGCTGATTTAGAAGTTAATTTTCACTCTTGGAAAAGAATTAACCTCTAAAGCCAAAACCCCTCCACCTTTACGGCAAGCATAAAATCCATTTTTAAATAATCTCAACTACTTTAACTGAAGTCAGTTAATTCTACCCAAGAAAACAAAAAGGCATGCAAACTACTCCCACCACAGGCAATGTTAAAGAAAAAGAAAGAAGAAAAAAAGTTTACTTTCCTTCTCTCCACTTCCTCAAAGAGTGAGCTCAAAGACGAGGAAACATTTCTTCACACTCATCAAAGAGAAACTGCTCATATTCCTTGTTATCTTAATTTTGAAAAAAAAACTAAACTTTAAACTTTTCCTAGTAAGACTGTAGATCAAAGATCAGAGTAAAAAAAGAATGCACTGTAGTATTCTGTGTTAATTTCTTAGTCTTTTGTTGCCATCACAATAGAGGCTCAACCCATGGGCTGACTACCAGTGGAGGGATATAATAGAAGACTCTGGAAACCTGAATTCTAGTCCTGCCTGAGTCACAACCTTAAAGTGGTCACCACATTCTCTCAAAAATATCTACTTAATGCAGATGGATAAATTACAGACCACCTTATAGTTCCAAAATTCTATGGTTCTGGGGGACAGACCTATATTTACAGACAGATATAGTCAAAAGGATACTTAATGACTATACTAATCAAAATATTAAATAATATTTGAATACATGACTGATCATTTAGGTTTCTCTGCAGGCATTTATCATTCAACAAATATTTGCTGACTGCCAGCATCCCAGGTACTATTTTAACTGACGAAATTAACAGCAAGTGTTCTAGAAAGGCAGTTACCAAACCCTGAAAACACTGTTTTCACTGGCCAAGAACTAAGTGAGAAAAAGAAAAACAACTCGAGTTCATATTCATTTCAATTTGAATAAAAACTGCCCTCGATTTGAGCTCTTTTCTAGTTTCTGGTGCCAAAATAACCTTTAAAAAAAAAAAAAAAAAAAGGATACATTGGCAGATTGTAGAGGTGTATTTTTTTAATGTCCTAATTCAGCAGAAATCAAAGTTAGCCCTCACATCAAACCTCAACTTTATTAACTTTTCTTTTTTTAAGAAAATTGACTAGTCTGTGACATTTTTTAAGTTTTAGGGAATTTCACTTTTCTAAAAATAGCCTTTCCCCAAAAGACAACCTACATCCAGTTTCTGGATTAGAAACATGAGATGGGGTATCCCTGTGACTTCCCAGCAGGCAAAGGCTGGGAAAGCAGCTTGAAAAGTAGGTTTAGGTTCCATTTTTGTCTCTGAGATGTTAAATATCTGGGTTAAGTGATCATCAGCCTAATGGAAGACCAAAAGGATTGGTAAAGGAGGCAGTGACAATCTTAGGAAAAGCACTCTCCCTTCTGCTGCCTGAGGTGAGGGGAAGATGGCACAGGCCAGGGAGCCCTCTAGGGGGGCTGAGAGAACACCCCCCCACCCCACCTTCCAGGGAAAACTGGAGCTCTTCCGGGGAAGCTTCTGAGGTAGACTCTGGAGCTGTAATTTGCCTACTGTCCCAGGCACTAGATGACCCTGGGTCACTGAAATCCTTGCTGCTCACCCACAAGAAATGAAAACCCTGGGCCTAGCTAGGAGCAGAGACCTTGTCACCTTGCCCCTCTCTCTCTTCCCCCCTCCCTCCCACCACTGCCTCCAGTGCAGGCCTAGAAGGGGTCCCAGGCAGAGTTAGGCCCTCAATGAACTCCTGGTGAATAAATGAACAGTACTATATAGCCAATACAGTCAGTATATGCATCTCTGGCCTCGGTCACCAGCTATAGCTAATACTGAATTTAACTTGAATTTCATCACAACTTCCACACTGCCATCTAATTACCATTCTCTGCAATTTCAAGAAGGTAATAAAAAGAAAAAATCAGGTAACCATAACATAAAGTTGTTCAGCTCAAGCAACAATCACTTTGGTTTACAACCACTCAACTCACAGACCCACTGAAACAAAAACAAGGACCATGCTTGGAAACCTAATAGCAAATGGCTAATTCCTGCCTAGAAATTCTATATAGACAAAACACTTCCTTTGTATCTACTTAAAACCAATCTACTAAACAAAAATGTTTATAGAGTGATTGTAATAATGAAGACCTTCTAATAAATACATAACTTAGGAGAAATAGACATTTCTAACCTAATTACTGTTAATAACCAACCACCATTTCCAGCTGAATGGGGTGAGTGCACAGCCTTCCCATTCCTTCAGTGCTCTCATGTGAAGCATACAGAAGCCACAGAACTATGACTATTGATAATGTCAAATGTCTCTCGACTAAGCACTGGGAAGGGGGGAAGGGGTACACATTCTAACCCAACACAGTCTCAATGCTTCTAGTGGCAGAAAAGGGAGCATTCCAAACACACTAAGCTACTAAAAGGCACTTTGCAGAAACGGTTTTCAATGTTTAAAAACTTTTCCTAGAACCTTTACTTACATAAATAGCACTTAACCCTCAGCCATATATACCCAAGGCACAAAAGGCAGGAAGTTCTTCAGTTTAACCTTACATTCTGAGAGAGCACTAGGGTTTTATTTATATTGTGATTACCTTGATAGATTTTCTTTAAATTTACCACAACACCATCTTTCTAAAAAAGTAGGAACCCTATTGCTATAATTGCCTGGAATAGAAGTCTGGTGTTTTTTAGGTCATCTCTTCTGTTTTGTTTTGTTTTTTAAGATATTCAATGTGAGTAAAGCTACTGAATTCTGCCACTCCCTGTAGATGTAGAAGTCAGCAAATATTACACATTATACAGTGCTTAATGAAAAGCACAATAATTTGAGCTTAAGCACAACAAATCAGAAGTAAATGCCACCACTGACAATTGCTGTAACTTTAGATATTGTTCTTTATGTGTGGAAGCAACCAGACTGTCCTTCATAAGAGGTATCTTATATTTCTTGATGTGGACTACTCATTACCATAGTACAGAGCAATAGGTATTCAAGGTCCTCAAAAACTGTCCAAAACATATAAAAATTCTGTTTAGAGCCACTCAATTGTGAAGTAACCAGCAAATCTACTATCCCCCCGTCCCAGTTAAGAGCCCAACTAAATGATGATTAAAACACACCACCTAAACTGCTAGTCACTGACCAATTCATTTGTACCTTTAAACTGTAAAAATTATCTCCAAGATCTGGTTAGGAAACTTACAATTCTTACAGAAGTTTCCCTTCCATATTTTACACATACTATTTTTTCTTAATCTGGCTAGTGAAGATAACTCTATATAGTAATTTACAGTAGTAATCAAAACCTATAACTTGATATCCTTTAGCACTACGGTATTTCAAGGAAATCACCAAGGTCACACCCAGGAGGCAAAATGGCCAACCCAACTTCCCTAAAATAGTTGTGGAAAGATGTTTAAAAGTTAAGTGACAGAAAAAGACTAAAATACTCAAAGTTGATATTCAACATCCCAACCTAAACTATTCAAAACCAGATGACTGTTCAAAGACAGAGTTTGGTAAGATTCTACAGGATATAGTCTCATTTTCTTGAAATTGTATTTAAGTGCCCAGTTAGTTCCACATACGATTAGAAACTACAGTTAGTACTATAAAATGTTATAGTTAAAAAGTACTATAAAACATTAGCATATTTGAATGTGATTGAAAACTCTGCCTCAGGAAAAATATAAAAAAAACTCTGCCTGCTTCATTCCAAATCAATTAAGTCAGTTAAAGGATATTATTGTGAACTTAGAGCAACGTGTATTAGTTTTAGTTTCAGTATTATCAGTACTACAGATACTATGGCCTGTAAACTGGCTTTAAAAATTTTTCATCTAGTCC